GGGGGGTCCCCTAATCGGAACTTTTACCAAAAGCGTATTTTTATATGATATTTATATAGATCACAACTATATAAATTTTATATATAGAATTAAAATACAAAAAAAGTTGAATAAACTATTTTATAAGAAACATAAGTTTTCGTAACTATTCGTAGTTTTAATTGCAATAATTATAAAATACATAGTTTATTCAACTATATACTTAATTCTACACAAAACTTGTATAGCTGTCATTTATATAATTGCTACTACTGTTTTTTTCTAGGTGTATAAAAAAATTTTATAATGACATAATTTAATTTAGAGGAAAAGATATATGGTAGATTAATTAATAAAATTTACTTTACTAATATTCTGTCTAAAGTATACCTTATGAAAACTACATGGATTTCACTTTTTCTTGGAACGCTTTACATTTTATAGTCTTATACAATCAGTTAATTAGTTTTCAATTAAGACAGTAGCTCTCACAAGAGTTTAATTTATTTCAGACTTCGCAATAAGGAATGAAATATAAATTTACCCAAAGAAGCGACCGACAATGCCCATCCCGTATCGCCGTCGATTACTGTTGTCAAAGACACGATCGATCGTGCTACGGGAGATCCTCGTGGCCCCGGCTATCTCCCGGCTGCGAAGAGTCACCCCCTCCTCTTGTGGCACTCTTGTACCCTCCGCCGGAGGCGCGTCGTACTTCGACCTGCTCCAACTTGTTTTTCTGTAATCTCTTTCTTGTTGTACATGTTTGTGCATTTGTCGGTCAACAACAAATCTACTTTGCAAATTGCTTTTGTTTGAATATGAAATGTTTTGCGATCATCTAAATCGTGTGTAACCTTTGCAATGTCCAAATGTCAATAGCTCTTGGATTTTGAAAATTCAAAGGCAAAGCAAACAAACTCTTAGAAATTTGAAGCTTAAAGATACACTGTTAGAAATGTTTGTGATTTCACAACACTTTAACTATAGATACATAAATTCAGTAAATTTTCGATACTTGTACACTGTTAAAAATATTTGTGAATTTACAATATCTCTACAATAGAAATGTGCAGTAGATTTACAAATCATATTATGTTTAGTTGCAATTTCAAAATATTTGTAAATTTACAATAGATATTTGCTATGATATCAAAAAGTAAATTTAATGATCAGTCATTATAGACTCAATATAGACACTTGTTATGTAGCGATGGGTCACTGCCGAAAGTCTATGCACTGCCGCAGATATACAAACCTGACTGCCCGTACAATCATCGTATCATCGAGGTAATTCTAATAGATTGTACGCTGGAATACATCTGCTCGTTCAGTAATAACGAAATATAGGTTGCAAAACACGAACATGACTTCGATTGAAATAACATCGAAATTTTAGACAAAGAACCATGTTATAATAAGTATTTGATTTTGAAAACGTTAAACATGAAAAAATAAAAAAACACAACCTTAATCTACCAACAAATACTGAGAGCCTCCATAAGGCATATATTCCGATAATAAACAACATTTGACATTGCAATACCAAGATTACTTTATCATTCTTTAGTCAGTGTTCGTCTGTCGTGATAGTAACATATCCGTTTACCTCGTGACTTATTTTAAATACATTTATTACACAAAGGACATAAAGACATCCTCCCAAGAAAAAATATCTATGTTTTGTAGACAAAAGCTTTCAATCGGGTTAGTCTATTGGACGTCATGGAAATTTTCGAGCTTTATTGTTCGTTTATCTCAGCATCTTACGCAACCCTTTTTCCCGCACGAACTTCTTTTGTACCCGAAACTGACAAGCTATGTTTGAGCAAAAATCAGATAATTAAAAGATCACTTTCCTCGGATATCGAATGGAGGAACAAATTACTGATAATATGTTATGCTACACTGACGATACTATTCTCATAGCTGAAGAGGAAGATTATCTGCGACGCATGCTACACACTCTCGTGAATACTGCGAAGAAATACAATATAAAGATATCCACATCTAAAATCAAATCCATGGTAAGAAACCACAACGTTGCAAGCTGGAGGTCAAAAGAAACATAATTGAACAACACAATGAGCTTCAACTACCTAGGCGTCAACATCTCTAGCAGTTGAAATCCGTAAGAGGACGGCAGGCAGCAAACACTCAAGGGAGTAAGATATCAGGAGGACTAAAGGATACGGTATGAAAGTACAACACCTAACAGAAAGCAACGTTTAAGTGTACAAGACAATTGTTGAATGAATATTAACATATGGGGCTGAAACACGCGCCGAAACAGAGGACAAAGCAATTCAGCCACATCACAGAAATAAGTATTCGACGAACAATAATCAGGAAGACCAAAAGGGACAGAATAAGAAATAAAGAGATTAGAGAAAAATGCGGAATATTAGATATCGTCAAATTCATCAGAGATCGGAGAAGGGATTGGAACCATATCAAGGTGGCTAATGACACACGTTTAATAAAGATAGCAAGAAACTACAAGCTGATAAACAAACGGCCTCCTGGAGGACTGCCGAAGAGAAGGACCAAGAGTTGGAAGTCATTGTTAATAGAGAACCCAGAATACGATGCGTGAAAAAAAACAGGCAAAGCCTATAATAAAAGAAGAAGAAGGAGAAGAAGGAAAAGAACTCTCACCTGGAAATATAGTGGTCCCTCGTGATCGAACGGGGTCGCCTGGCTTGTCCGTCGATTGTCGTCCTGTCATCCTTTTGCTGTGCGAACCTGCACAAAGAAAGTATTTAATGTCTCACTATTCAAAAATTAAAAAATCTAACAACTCTAATTTCTCTCTAAAAAATTTCTAAAAGGTTATAGAATTTTAAGGATCGATAGAAAACACAATGGAGACATCTATCGAAAACAAATTTCTGTTCAACCAAATTACAGTTAAACTACTAAGAAAATCGCAATTGCGGTATTGTTAGTGTTTATATAATTAGGAAAATCGCCCACAGATCCGTACAAAGCAATATTTTTTAGAAAAAGAAAAAAAAATAAAAACTCTATTTGATATCTGCACTATGCAATTGAGATGCAGATAATTTCATTAATTGTAATATTTTAAAAACCAAATTGTAAAATTCAGCTCTATACAAATCTTCGTTATTTTTTATAAAAATAAGAAGTCGGAGAAGTCTCATAACACAATATTATTTTTACGAGAAAATATAGTTGAATTCGATTATATCTATAATATCGCGAGAGTAAAGAATAAATAATTTTATTTATTATAATAGTTTTAAAAGTCAAATTGCAAACTTCAACTCTGTAGAAGTTTGTAAATCTTTGTAAAAAAAAAAAAGAAATTGAAAGAGTCCTATAACAAAGTTGAGTGACGCCAAGTGCATAAAAATATAAAACGAACCACTTGACCGCTTAACGCGTGAACGTCATTGCGTATATATTCGTGCCGCTGTCAAATTCGAGATGCTACTACTAGCTTTATCCGGAGTTTTGATATTGGCAAATTTTTCGATGAAAATTACTCGGAAACTACAATAAAAAATCTAACAACACTTTTATTATATAATGCCAGCGCGATCTTTCGATTGCGATTAGTTTGAATAAAATTGATGCAATCCCGAGATATCGAATCCATAAAAAGTACCATTTCAGATTTTCAGATTTTTTCAGACACATAGATAAACCCATATATATGTAAAGCGTTTTGTCCGTTAAGCTGCTTTCACACAATGCCTTCATATAACATATTAAATTAGCAACGAAAATGAACATTAATGCACATTCATTCATTCATTCATTCATTCGATGGCGCAACATCCCAAAGTCGAGACAGGGCTTATACTTTTTGTATGTATGCCCGTAGTGTGCAGGTTGTTCACAGACATACGGGACCCACAATTTAATGTTTCGAACGGCAGTTTAAGAGGTTTTCTTGGCAATAAATACTCTTGGTGGTTTGCCAGATCGCCGAAGAGGAGCTACAAGCGCGTGAAAATTTCTTAGATCTGCCGGGTCGAACTCGAGTCCCTAGTAGTATTGTAGATTTACACGCTGTTTATGCTACGTGCTCCATTAATACGTATACATGTGTAATATTATTTATGTACATGAGACAGACAATCAGAAAGAGAGAGAAAGAGGGGAGAGCGGGGGAAATATTATGGGAGAACGAGTGTAAAAGAAAGAAAGTGAGAGCAAGGAAAGAACGAGAAAAAGCGAGAGAAAGTGGAGAGAAAACGAGAGAGGAAAAGAGAGAGAGAAAGAGTGGAAGGCACTTGACGTGTATTTTATGCACTTGGCGTGTATTTTTTTCTTTTTTAAGGAGGTTTTTTTTAGGGATATTTCACTGCTTTTTGTAAATTTTTTTAAATATAATAATATAAAATTTAATTTAAAAAATGAAGAGATAATAATAATAATTAATATTTATTGAATATTAGAGTAATAATATATAAAAATAAAAAATAATTATAGCCACTTTCAGTCTATCTTATGTGTCTTGCGCGATGAAATACTTGGCTAATAGCATTTATTTCATATCTGTTTTTGAGAAGAAAAATGTAATATTCGATACCTTTTTTATGCACTTGACGTATATTTTTTGTTTTTTAAAAAGGTTTTTTAGAGTACTTCTTTTACGAGACAAAATATGGTAAAATACAGATGTGTATATCTGTGTCGTGAATGAGATGTAGATGTAATTGACCCGTCGCTACCGACAATTACGACGTTTTTGAATATCTGACATATTGCAGAATTCTTTAATCTCATAAGACCTACCCAACTAACTCCTCGGTACTAATCCCCTCGCGATCCTGCGTAGTGTCGAGAATATTTATTATCTTAACGCCGATCTCTTCATCCTTGACCAATCCGCTGGGAGTCTGATCGATTTGCGTCTGCGATTGTTGAGATGACGGCGGAAGCGGAAGGGGTGGTGGTGGCGGCGGGGGCCTCTCAAAGAAGGACTCGTCTTCGTCCTGGCCGCTGTCAGGCCTGTCCTCGGGATCTGTCCTCGACAGATATGCGATCGTGCTCGGCGGGAAGCTGCGTGATTCCGGACGTGATTGGGAGCGCTCGCGAGGACGCTGCCTTGTCAACGACTGAGAACACACGTGCTTCGATTAAACAAGATCGCGATATTCGTATTTTTAAAAATTGTCTGGATTCTTTCGCCAAAAGTACCAATTTCCTTACATTTCTGTTATCAGTGATAATGATCACAAAAGAATTTCTCGCGAATGCAGGGGAAAAATGATGTTAGGGTGACCAGATCTAATCTAGGTAAACTAAGACATTCCTAATTAAAAAGTAGTATAAAGATAGGACACTAAGTCTTAAAAGTAGAACAAAAAACAGGACATTTTAAATTGTAGTGCAGAATAAGTAGTATATTTAAATTCAGAAGTAGGAGAAAAAGAGTACATTTAAAATCCTAAGAATAGAATATAGATATATCTATGCAATTCTGCAAATCGCGCGCCGAAGTTTTTTTTAGTCTTGAAATCTGAGATTTATTGGTATGGTAATAAAAAATAAATTTCATTTAAAAATAAAGTTTATTCTTTTTCGATAAATCTCAGGTGTCTACCGAAGAAACTAAATAATCTCCGCTAACTCGATTTCACAACTAACAAGCCTGATTTCTTAAATGTTGATAGATTCAACGAGATGGTTGAGGCACGCGAGCTGTCTTATGGTAACGTTAAGAGAAGCAAACTGTTAGAAATCGACGTTCAAAGTTTCGTGGCTATTGCTAACTGCGCGCTACATCCTAGTTATGGTCTCGATACCACTAATAAACTGTCAGAGCTGTCGAAAGCACACTCACGCGCTGTTCAACCGATCGTCCATTCGCTGACACCTACTGGCTGCTACCAGCCAGTAGTAAGTGCAAACCAGTTGCACTCGTGTCTGACCATGCAGTTCCCGTCATCCCGTAACTTTGTAAAACTATAGCGGTATTAAACGGCAATTTAAGTTCGCAACTTTTTCCGATATATTGTTTCTTCGACTGTTAGATATGTCTTTTGACTAACGAGATGATGTCTTTGTAGGGCAAATCCACGCGTATATATACGATGCCGCAAAATAAGCTAATCAAAATTTGTCAATACATAGAAAGAATGACTTTTTTGCGCACTTCTTATCGTGCTGACTCCAAATTAACCTTTGGAATTTATTATTTTTTATATACAATTATAAAGGGTCGAATTATTTATTTCTTGTTACTCTTAACCCTCGAACATCACACTTATTTTCGGTACCTTTGGACGACACACATGGGTCATTCGTGTCCGACTCGATTTTAAGGTGCTCTTAAAGTGCTCGAAAAATTCTGTAAAAATTCACATATATTCTTTAAGGTTTCTACTAAATTATTTTGCTATGCAAATATTGGAAAAAATGTTTAGAAAAATGATGAAAATTACTTTCTGCACCAGAAAAAGAAAATAATTCAGTTTTGAGATAAAAATTGTAACTTTGATTTTTGAAGAAAAAAGCAGTTTTTGATTTTATTAAAGTATAAAAATGATTGTTTTTAATGCAATCATCTTTACCGATCAGCGCGCGCGCGATAGATGTCGACTCATTAGAGTATCTATGTTTATCGACACAGCTTCGTTTTCGGTTTACATATAGATATAAGCTCGTCCATTTTTTCCGTGTGCACATCTTCAAGTCTTTTAGTATCTTAATAAACGTTGTGTATGAATATTAGTTCACTTGCTCTCCACCTATTCGATCCCAACAGATCTATATCTAGATAAACTTTTAGATACTTCAGTAAAACTATTTTTTCTATTCTTTCATAAATTTTAAGCTAATTTCCTCTTGAAATTTTTCTATAAGAATTTTTTTAAAAACTGATATCGAAGCGATAATGAAAGATCAAAGGCTTTTAAGTTTTAATTAAAAACAGCGTAGCACATTTTTCAAAATACGCCGTTTAATTGCGAGGGTGACGATTAACGACCGAGAACCATGCCGCGACACTATAAAATCCGATCGGAAGGACTTGATACGAAGCAATAAACAGAACGAATGTTAATTCCCGCAAGCCGTGCACGAAATTAAATTCCGTTCGAATTTCACAGAGACATAGTCTCGCTTTCGAAATTTTTCCGTTTTAATGGGTCCGCCATTATAAAAAAAACAACTCGCATTTATATTCTTTCCATGTCAAATATCTCAAAATGTATGACATAAATATCTCAATGTTTAACATAAATTCTTTAATAAATAAAAGTATAAGATATTTATATCGACATTAGAAGATAAATTCAATATTATTATTCAACATGATTACATTATTGCCTCGTCATTAATATTCCAATTTTATGACACATTTTTTATTTATTTGTTATAAAAAGAATACTTAATAATATTCATCAGATTTTAACAATTAAATCGAAATTTTATTTATGTTTTTATTTTCATTAATTCCTAAAGGTGACACAATACACTTTGATAGAAAATCAATTATATGAAATTTAAAAAACTTTTTTATTTATCAAAGTTAAATTAAATCCCGTTCGAATGGAATGACAAGACTGAAGTTTTTATTGAAAACTGTTGAAAAGAAGACGAGGAAATTACCTTTTAAAAGATCTGATTTGACGGTAATGATCGGCAATAATTCGAGACCTGATTAATTCGTACCGACGATATTATTAGATTACATTATTGGCTCACCAATGATATCGATCAACGATGATGGCAAACGTGTAATGAGCATTCACTGGAAAATCCATCATTTTGCGAGAATATAATTAAATTCAGATCTGCATAATCCGGCATTAACGACTACGTCGGCAGATGCGGCCACGCAGTTACTACTTCGAAATACATGCAGATAGTGCATGTATTAAGCATTATATCCATCTTGACGTTTCTATTAGGCCTACAGAGATGTTAAAATTTACAGAATAAAAAACATCAATACTCATATATTTTTTACATATACCTAATCGAAAGCTTTTTAAGGAATAGGGCAATCTTCAAAGACTGATTTTGTCCTTTATATAAGATGAATTCGGATAGCAAAAAAAATTTCTTTTTATATGTCAGAGTATCCCCTATGTATTGCTAGAGATTCATAATTTTTTAAATTTCCGAGTTGGGGGCCTTTCCTTGTAAGATTTAGCAAAATATGTTTTTAAAACATTCAACAAAGGGTTAAAAGACTAGTAGAAGAACATTAAAAAGTGTTTCTATATTTCTTATTACGTTATTGTAGACCATGAAAAATAGTAAATTTTGCATTTAATATTTTTTCAAAATTTTATACAGAATTTCTCAGATCTTTCTATTAATACAAATATGAAAAGTCAGATTTTCTTTGAAGAAGTATTTTCATCCTTGAAACCGTTTCTTAGTCGAAATAGAGAGTTACTATATAATTAAGTCTATAAATACTTTATTTCTCCGAGGTTTCAGATTTTTAGAAATTTTCCGAGTTACCGAACCGCTTTTGTAAGTATAGAGGAGAAAAATCTGCACAAATTACATAACTAAACCTTGAGAATCAAGGATAAGGTAATCATTTTATCTTTTCATTCTGTCGCGCGAAGAGGTAAGATTTGCCTCTCGCATGAATGCGACAATGCGCGCAATTCGCTATTTCCGCGAAATTAAAAAAAAAAAAGATGGAATACAAGAGAGAAGAGAGAGATACGTCGCGTCTGACGCACGTAACGAAGTGTTTTAAATCTTAGGGCGGCGTAACGAAGGGAGTAGATTACCCTCGTAACTCGCTTTACTCGCCTTTTATGCATCCCGCTTAAGGGACGTAATTAATGACGGCGCGGTGCACGCGTGAGTTTTTTATTAAAATTTACATCGTCCGAGCGTAGCGTGTAATAAGGAGACAGCAGTGCTGCAATTTATTAGCAGAAATCTAATAAATTCCATTATTAAGATCGGCGTTATTTTAATCAGAGCGCAATATTGCAGCCGTGTTTTTGGACGAGTGTTAACGGCTGCTATTTTTGCTTGATTGGTCTTTATACGCACATAAAATGAGATGTAGCTTTTTGCATTATAAACTTTTCTATCTACAATTATAATGCGGATGCTTTTAACAGAATATATATTAAGATGGAGTATAAAAGGGGGCTAACACGAGCAAAGAACTCGATAAAAAATGTTACATTAATTCTTTAATGTTTACTAAGAAAAATGTTTTGCTTAAACCAACAAGGCGAGACCAAACAGAATTTCTAGTTATGATAATTAAAGTGCTAATCTTGTTGGTACATTTTGTTGGTTTAATCAAGACATTTTTCTCAAGCAGTGTTCAGACATTAAATATTTTATTTCTAAATATCATTATTATTATTACTATAAAAAAATGGAGGCTAATGGAATAATTATTAAGAAATATACGGTGATGTGAAAAATCGTGCAATTTATTTCGAAATATCATGCGCGTATGAGGGTGATGTGTTTTAAAGCTTTTATTCTAGATTCAATATGATATGTTATAATCGTTAATTAAAAAGAGGCTTGCGAAACAGTTTAAGCAACGCGCAGACTGTATTTCCGATTAATAAATTTCGTTATTGCTAGAGCACAATTGCGAGAATCGCAGAATTGTGATTTGATCGCGCGGAACGGATCACGGCAAAATTAATACGTATCGTTTTTCGGACCCCACTTTCGCCGCTTTGTGTTTTCGGTATTCACGTAATAATTCCATGGTATCAGAGAAAAATCGGATGCCGGACAATGCGGAATTATCGGCGGAAATTATTCGATCGTTCCGCTAGTTTAAAACGTTCAGTGTGCAATGTAATGCAAAGTAACAACGAATAACATATTTAACAGATCGCAACGATATTTCGTATTAATCAAGAAAAACATAGTTAATAAAAAGATACAGGGTGGGCCATCTATTGGTACGTTTTTAAAAATGCGATCAAATGAGCATACATTGAACGATCGCAACGATATTTCGTATTAATCAAGAAAAACATAGTTAATAAAAAGATATAATTGTGAACGTCTAAAAATCAAGATTCATTTAATTGTGCAAACTATACACATATATCATTTAATCCCAAATAAAAAAATCTTAATCCCAATTTTAAAAAATCATATAATTTTGAAAAAATTGTACATGAATCATATATTATTATTTCATGTTACGAAATATTATATACATTTACTTTTTAAAAGTAATTTCAGTGCCACATTTATAACTGACGTAATTATCAGCGAATATTTATTATTCTTCAGTAATAATACACTAATTCACTTTTAAAGCTTAGGATTTTCTACAAATGATTCTACAGAAAATCATAACCTCTAAAAATAAATCAATGTATTTTTACTGAAAAATAGTGTAAATATTCTGATGATACATTAGTTATAAGTGTAGTACTGAAGTCAGTAATAAAATAATACACTGATCTACTTTTAGAGAGTACATTTAAATTTTACTTAATAATAAATATAATATTTTTTATGTAAAATTATATTATATATATTGTATTATTAAATAGAATTTAAATCGGTATAATATAAATATCGATAAATTAAGTATAATATAAATTATCTAAATAACTATATACATAGGTATAATAGTTAATTTAATACTTTTCAAATAATTACGTAATATACAGGGTGTCTATAAAGTATGTTATCATCTCTATATTTTGGAAACGGTTTAAAATCATGAAAAACCACAAAATACGTATTTGATGATTTCAAGGGATTACTCTTTTAAGGAAGTCAGGGAGAATCCCCCTCAGGGAGAATTTTCAATCTAGAGCAAAAAAATGAGTCAAAAATGGGAAAAATGGGTCATTTTTTCGCTCTAGATTGAAAATTTGCCCTGGATGGCCCTATTTTTATGTCAGATTCGTATTCAGCGATTCAAAATACATAAAAATAGCTGGGTCTCCACTCCAGCACAGGGTACTTTTTTTGTGGGCCTGTGTTATTGTTATTAGTTATATTAGTTACTAATGATATAATGATTTCAATAATTGCGCACAAATTGTTCATCAAATTATGATTGCGAAACGGATATTTTCATCGATGCTGAAAAGTCAAAATAATTCGCGATGAAAGCTTAAAATGCTTGGGATGGCGTGTCTTAATGTATAAAAATGATTACAAGCGACCGTGAATTTTTCGCTCGACTTAAAATTAACTTCGACCGCGGCAATGCTTTCTAGGTTGCGCGTGAAGTATTTTACTGGGTCATCATGTATACCAAAGGAAGGCACACACTTTCCTGTGATACATGCTCCAGTCGTTGTCCGACTAGTTCAAGTTAAGTGGTAAGTTTTGAAATATGGCCGACCAACTGTCCGCGCATAGTCCGTGGGGAGAATACATCGTGCAACGTGTGCGTATGCAGATGCTGCTCGATGAATTCAAATAGGCAATTGAAAAACCGAAAAAGTATAAATTCGAACATATTTCGAGATAATTGGCAATTGTTCAAGTGTCGGCGGAAAACGATACGAGAACACGATTCGATTTATTGTTATCGTTCCATGTTTGTTTTGCAATAAAGTATTTTTTTCTATTTCATTCATCAATTATAAAACATTTTTATTTAACAGTTAATTTTAAGAACGGACATATATTTTAGGATTTTGTTCATATAAATATCGAAATACATAAATATCGTGCTTATCATCGTGGAGAAATTATATTCTACATGTAATTTATAAATATTATTTTATATATATCTTTTAAACAAATTAATATTTTTTAACAATTTTATTTTATATATTGTTCAAGATATATAGAATAAACGTATGTAACGTGAAATTAATTCACTGCATAGTTAAAAGACTTTTTTTTTTGTAAAAAAATATTCTTTTTTGTGCAATAAAAAATAAAAAGCCCCTTAAGGGAGAGAGTGTACTTGAAAATAGACAAAATATCAATTTATTATTTTTTAAATTGCTTTTTGCGTGTTTTAAATTGTATAAAATGGTTTTTGTATATACCTTGTGGTTATAAAGCACTTCCACTCGTATCGAATTGAAGAGAGAGTATAATCGCTGGATTAATAATACAAGTCTACAAAAAAATTGTTTTTATATTGGAAACGAAATTGATATTTCATGTAGATAATATATTTTAATGTTAAAAATAAATTTTATCTTTAAATTTATGTATTACGTCAGGATTTCAAGAACAATTAAGTTTTATAACGTTCGTAAAAAAACATATATAAAATACCCTAAATAAGAAAATAAATAAAATTATATCAAAAACAAAACAATTTCGTAAAATATGCTGGACTAATCCGTATGTATTTTAAATAAATTTTTCTCAAAAATATGATTACGCGCCGATTACTTTCCACACAATCCATCCGCAATATTAATAATACCTTAAAAATTTAATTTAATCCTACTGGTATCATAAACCTTGTAAAGAATTTACTATGAAAAATATGAACTTGTTCGAGATTTAAACTCGGATCTCTTGTGCGGTCATGCTCACCGTTCGATCACAGAAGCCTTAGCAATATTCTTCGCAATAACCAATATGCATAGAGAGTTGAAAAGCAGGATGCATACAATATTAAAATATTAGAAACAATATCGTTTGAATAAATCAATTAAGTACGGTCAAAGTTATATAATAATTTTTATTTAAAATACATGTGGATGTATTAATCCAATATTTAATTGGCACTTCTCGTATTTAATTGATTATACAAACAGACCTGTTTCTAATCTTCGTAAAATATGTTTTAAATAAAAGTTGTATAGTTTGATGCAACATAGCTTACATAATGATTAAAAAAAGATTGAATATAAATATATTAAATTTACAGGAATATTTATCTATTTTTTTCCATAAGCAATTATAGTATAGCATAATATTTGTAAAATAATCAGGAGTGGTGATACACCTGGATAATTCGAAGATGAAATTTTGTTTTAGTTTGGAAGAGGGGCAGAGGGGGGGCGCAAAGTTGGCGTGAGCGGAAATAAGCCCTTCTGGCGTAAACTGAAACCGAAGTTACGTAATGGGGCGACAGGCGTGCGGGTCGCTCCACTTTTATGACTGGAATATTACTCTACTTTGGCTAATCTAAACTTTAGGGTTAATGTAATGTAATTCAACGAAGGCGGTTTACACCCAGCCGGCTAATTTTGTCGCGCGACTGCACTCGACCCGTGATCCTAATAAATTCATCCATGGACTTATGTATATTATTACCTACTTATATATATAAATGTGTATATATATATATATATATATATGTTTATTATACATTTATTTTGTTTCTTTTTATTGACAATCTCGATAAAAATAAAGTTGCACAACGAGAAAATTGTACAAGAGAACAGGCTAGTCGAATTAATCGAATTTTAATATTTTAGGTCTTGAATACACTATGCGTTAACTTTTCCAAGTAAACAATACTTAATTAAAAAGTTCAATATAATAATGTTTAACAAATTTAAGAATTAATTAATTGATTTCTGTATTTCTTAATTAACACAACAATTAATTGGACAAATAACGATTTCACAAAGCGTTGTAATAAATAATTTAACAAAACAAGAATTTATAATGTTTCGTAAGATTAAAAAAATATTAAAGCAGATTTCGTCACAGTTAAGACTGAGAGGTTGAAAATGGGATAATAACTCACCTCGACGATGTAATGAAGACCTGACAGCGTCATTCTCGCTACAGAATCTTTCCTCCGTACTGGTTGTTGCCATCGTCTGAGAGTGACACCCTAGAAATAGTTAGAAATGTATTTTTTATCGCAATTTTCTGAAATCTCTAATTTTCTTGTTGGTAAATATGCTGATGAAGGCCGATGAACGCCCGTCCCGATAATCTTGACCTTGAGTGACCTCCAACAGATTTTAATCGTCATTCGTTATTTGTTAAAAACTTATTAACAAAAAAGTTTGAAAAATGTCTCTACTATACAAAACAAAAATTTTCTGTTTTAAAATATATTTTACGACTTTTCATGAGAAGCGAGGTCTCTCTTGCCTGGAGGCGTAACGACTTTTCACGCGGGTTGATCTTATTTCACGTAAAAAGTCGAACGCTCCTAAGCAGGGGGAGGGGGAGGGAGGTAGAGTCATAGAACTTATATAGTGATGGAAGGGAAATACGGACATTGAGCAACATCTAAAGGACAGAAATATCTTTCTATCCTTTTCTATCCTCTTTTGGCACATGCGCAGAAAGAAGAAAAGTTACTGAACAGGACAGAAATATATACAGAAATACATCTTCTGTCTCTCAGATGTTGCTCACACTTTTCACTCACTGCTTGGACAAGTTATTCCGCTTCCATTACTGTAAGTTCTATGGATAGAATGGACCTCGCTTCGGGTGGAAAGTCATTACCTACGTAGGGAAGGATACAGGATAGTTTCTAATATTGATCTATGGCAAAAATAAGACATTATTTTTTAAATTCATTTTGTTAATAACTTTTAACGAATAACGAGTGACGGCTAAAACCTGTTGTAGGTCACTCATGTCAGAGTCACCTTGATAATATATATCAGAGTCAAGGTCATCGAGGCGGGTTTCGTTCACTGGCATATTTATCTCCTTGTTAAATTATTAAAGCGAATTTATGAAATAATTGTTTAACTATTATCACGTCTTCTAATCTGATATAACTAATAAGCTATAATAGCTTCAAATGATAAATTATTTTCAATTACTAATATTTATTAATGATACACAATATTAGTAACTTAATTATTTATTAAGTTACATTTTAGTAATTTAATAAATAATTAAGTTATTAAAATTATGTTACTAAAATTAGGTTATTAAAATTAGATATATCCCACACAGAACACATCATCCATTAAACGTCCACATGACCTCTATTACTCTATGGGACATCTATCTCTACAATGGAAGTCACATAGATGTCCATTAGCGATCTACAATAGATGTTCATTCGAGTGTTCATTAGAGATTTACGATATATGATCCACTAAAAATCCACGATGGACGTCCATTAGATAGACTAATATTTATATTTTATTACGAAATTAATATTTTCAACTGACTTCATATCATACTCTACAAAAAAGTTAAAATACTATATACAGGATGTTTGAAAATTTTCGCGACGCCTGTCAGGTACGAGCAGGTAGAACGGATCGAACTGCTGATGCAGTCAAACTCCCAGTTATTATCGATTATAATCGCTCATACTATTATAATCGCGACAGAATGTATATTCTCATGGTACAATGCACTTACTTCCGGTGTCTCGGTAGTATCCGGTACGTCTCGGGTGATGTCCGGATCTGGCGGCCTGTGTTCCGGTACGAGTGCACCGTACTTCCTCGACGCCATACGTCGTCGTCGATCCAGCCATCTCTGCTTCTCCGAGGCTTCCGATTCCTCATCAACCCCGAAGAACTGCGCTGTTTCGCGTCTAATATAGCTGCAAAATTTGAAAAGATATTGGTACCAATCAAATTCACGTACATGTTATTTTAAATGCAAGTTGCCGATTATATTGACCACGTGCATATATATATAACACTCAATTTTATAAAAAAAAAGAAGTCAAATACATTTTCTTTTATAACTTACTTATTTGTCATAAAACACCACTTTAAATTAAAATGTTATTGTTATAAAATTAGTTGTTATACTTATTTAAATAACTGAGCGCTCTCAGGAACAAATAGTTTTTCGTACTGTATTATTCGTATATTTTCATCCTATCTTACTTTGCATGGAAATAAGGGATATCTATTGTCTAACACTTTACCAACATTTTCAGTATCGATATTTTTCATAGATACTTTCGTTTCGATAATTCCGACATATCGATACTTTTCGTACGTATCGACATGTCGAGACTTTTGATGCTATAGATTCGAATTGGTAGCCATCTTGAGAATGTCGATTTTAAGTTTCGAGGTTCGAGTTACCGAAAGAATAATGTGGAGCTTTTTCGAGATGAGTCGTTGAAAACAGTGCTGCACTGTTATGCCCAATTCAGACTGGACACAGCAAGCGTCAAACAGCGGAGCAGCAACCAATCAGTGAAACGATTACAGTGGCGTGAAAAATATCACCTTGCTGGTTAGTTGCTGCTCCGCTGTTTGGCGCTTGTTGCATTCAGTCTGCACTAGGCATTAGGGTCACTTAATTTAACCAACTTCGATTAACTAATCGGTCGATTAGTCTATTGGAATTTGCCAATCGCATCTGTCGTCAAACGAAATGACAAATTGACATTGGAGTAATCAAAACAAGAAATTTATATAGGGATGGGCGATATACATCTCGATACATTAAAAATTGTTTGAAAATCGCCCTTTTGGTAGAGGAAAACGATTTTTTTACAAAAAGATTGGAGATTGGAATAACCTCAAAGATGATTTTTCCATCTACTATTTTGCAAATATTGATTTTTTTACGCATTGATATTGGCGTATCGATATTGATTGAGATATTGATACTTTCATACTGATATATTTTAAGGTATCGAAACTTTGGTCTATATATAATGCATATCGATGTAAAATATCGATGCAACCGAAAGTATCAAGCATCCCTACTGATGGAAACTGGAAAGTTATGTGCTTTTAGGTAGGGGGAGGGATGAGGTGGACCCATTGTGTGGAAGGGATAACATGGTGTGTGCAGTTAAATGGTTTTAAAATAAGAACGGATTACGAATATCGCCTCATGTTTCGCGTTTCACAGTCGGTAGCCCTTGACTCTTATGAACAGTCCATAGACAGAGAGGGCAGAGATTTAGAAAGAGATACTGTCCAACTGCACACACCATGTTATCCTTCCATCATGAGTGAACCTCACTTCGTTTGGAAAATCGTGCATCTCTTGGCAGGGAGGAGGTGGGATGGACATCGCTTCGCGTGGAAAGTCACGCTCCTAGGCAAGGGGGAGGTTCTTGCTTCGCGTGGGAAGTAAATGTAATCGTGAATAAAAATTTAATTATTTAAAGTGTCATATCTCAGAAACTAGAAAAAATCCGTGATTCAGAGTGTGCGTAACTCAGCATTATATCGATTTTAATTGTACATATAAAAAAGTCAAAGTCATTGGTGAAGTTTAACCTTTTCGCAATAATTATCTAAGACTTTACACCAGGCTTGTCAGATAGTGGCTCGCAAGTCAGCCGCACCGCCGAGGACGCCGAGCGCTTCCCTCCAATTCGATCCGCCGGCTGATTTCAGGGTCGAGTTGGAGAGAGAAGCGGTTGGCGTCGCAGCTGGCTTGCGAGCTTAGAGTGAATATAAAGAGAGTGGTGCCAATGCATGTGCCTAATGCTGATTGGCTCCGCCATTAAGTGTCCTTACTGTTAGAAAGAAGACGTTAAAGAAAGAAGAGATTAAGACGAGGAATTGCGTCATATAGAAACTCCCCAGATGTAGGACGTCAAATGACGACTTCCAGCTAATTGGTATCATTCTCTTTATACCCACTCTAGCAAACCACTATTTGACAGGCTTGCTTTACACTGTGTGAATCACTCTCGTGTTGTCGTAATTTTTATATTTCAACATACAATTTTTTTCAAAAAGTAATTAATTACAAAATAGATTTAAGTAAATAAATTAAGAAATTCTGAAAAATGATCTTGTCACGATTGCACGATTACGCTATCGTCTTATACTCACTTCCGGATGGCCTCAGTGCGGCTTTGATTCCTTTTTAGCCTTGGTCGTTGCGCTGCCGAGGCACTCACCGAAGAATTGCTAATCTGGACGATCGGCCGCGGTGCATTTGGCGCGGAAACGCTCCTGGCGATGCCAGAACTTACAGCGGCGACGCCAGAAGTGGCCAGCGGCACGGTCGCCGACGCCGTCGTCACCGGCGTCGCCGTCGTCACGGCTGACGATGTCGCGACGCTTACCGGGTACATTCCGATACTCTGTACTGTGTCTCCTTCGCCGGTCGTCGACGATATCGTCGAGGTGCCGGTCGTGCCGGAACTCGGTGATGGTTGCCTAAAAACGAGAAGAGAAGTGTTATTTCCGTGTTAGGATTTATAAAAGAAATTACTGTAAAGGAAGAGATTATTCCTATCAAATAATAGTAAATATTGATAGAATAAAAAATTTTTGAGAAAAAAGATCACTTGATATGTGTAGGGGAGACTGGGGCCAGTTACAACGGAGATAAGTTGTAACAATGCATATATCTTTTAAATGATAAGAGATAAGATGATCTTTGGTAAAACTTTTCCTTTATATAGCCAGCCCCAAATGACCTGCCACTAACCTTGACCTGTTAACCTTGATCCTTAAGGTCAAAGTCATTCATCTTTTCTGTCACTCGTTATTTATTAAAAAATTATAAACAAAATAATTTTTATGAATACTACGCAATTTTCTAACACAAGGTATATATTTTAGCAATATTTCTTCTAGTCAGGGGGAAGTAGGGTGGGTCTCAATTGTTGGAATTTAGTCATATTTCCAACATGTGACACTCAATATCTCGAAAACTGTCTATTTTTTAATCTCGTGCTCATGAGGACTTTTGATCAAATCATCATGATAGTAAAATTTCCACCAATTCTGGGGTTCATTTTCCGTAAGATTTGTACGCAGTCTTTTATTTAAAGCTCGCCTACAATTCTATGAAAATTCACAACCTATTCAGAGCTCTGACTGTATTTTTAATAGTTTCGAAGTTTCTAATAATTTAAATCAATAATTCCACACTACCATACTAAAGAAACTTAAACTCTGAAAGAGCAAAGTTCTCTTGCCGTAACAATTACTTCTTTTCAAATTCTACCCGTTTCAAATTTAAGAAAGTTGTGTTTACCTTTAAAATTTGTTTAGAGAAAGTTCGGTTTTAAATATCAGCAAAAAATATCAGAAACCATTCTTTTCTTATTGTTATTAGTAACAGAAATCATGTAAGCCATCTTATATGATTCTACTTATTATTTATAAAAACAAAAATATAAAATAAAGAGGAGAATAAATTTAATATAAAAGATGAAGAAAGTCTATATATAAGAGCCAACACAGTTATTAGTAAAATATGTATATTTATACACATTATATATATAATTAAAAATGAAAAATGCATATGTTAGGCGTTTTCGATTTTGTATGATTAAATATGTTTTCTCGCGCGCTAGTAACTGCATTGGCTTTTATCATTTTCTGCATTATATTTATAAAATACACACAAAAAAAACATTTATTACTACTGATTTTTTGATACATGATAAAAGCTTGTAATATTGTTTAGTAAATCTTCACAAATTTATCAAGTTATTTATCGTACAAAATACAACAAATTGAACGTTTATTACTGTAAATGCTTTATTAAAAGCACGAAGAACGGTCTATTTTTGATATTGTTTAGGTACAACTTTTTTACTTCTACAGAAGAATTTCTTATTTATTCAACAGAATTTCTAATTTTTAAAGAATCTCTAATTTATTCGCCAGTGCTTATTAATTACATTACAAGCAATAAATCGCACATTATTGTAGTAATAATAAATTAGATTTCTATTTATGCGTGATAAGCGAAAAAATATCTCGGAAATTGTACCTATATATGCACGCAGTATAAGACGTGGTTTGAACCAAGGATGATTTATATTTGTGCAGATAAAAAGGAAAACTGCGCCAGGAATTTCCGTGACGCCACATTTTTCTCGCAGCGGCAGCTGCATCCTTCGCAACTCCGCATTCATTTAGGCGAAATGCAGAGTCTCAAGCAAGAAGGAAGAGGTGAGTCAATATCGCGCATATCAAGGCTAATTAATGGCGAGCCGGTTCTTTTTAGATGCGCTGCCACCCCTTTGCAGCGGACACAATATGCCATGTTAGTAATTTTCTCGGAAAATTTGTAAATTTTTTACTCGACTACAGCAACTCAAAATGGATTTTATAGAAACGATTAAAATATTAATCAGCCACAGTGAGGGGTAAATATTTGAAATAATAAATGGGCGTTAATTTCCTCAACAAAGAGAGGATAAGACGACGATTAATATTCAGATCTTTGCTCAAGTGAGAACACTTTAATTTTAACAACATTAATAATCAATTTAAAACAATCAATACAGATTCAACATTGGAAAATTCACATTTCAACATTGAGCATTGCAAAGTCTCAGCAACGTTCTTTTAATGTTTTGTATAGGTTATATTTTTGTGGAAAATAATAGTTTCGTCATTCTTTAACTAACATTTAAAGAAATTAGCCAGTAAACTCTTATAAATACGGTAAAATATCGAAGAGAATCAGGCAGTCTCTATTTTAGTGTTCCCCATTCGCTATTCGCGACGTCTGCTAATAATTTCTATGCTGTTCTGGAAATTTTCCGACCAACGCGAAGGAAGTTTTCATCGTAGAAATATTCCGATCGGAAGAACCGTGGCCGTGAGGCAACGCGATGCTTTGGCCTACACTCGGTTGGCACTTAAGACGAGCGTTTAAGTTTTAACATAAATATAACGTCTCGTTTCCGCTTGTTTCGCCATCGTGCGCCACCACCCCGGCCGGAAATTAAGGGTGTCGCGACGACCGTCAGACCCGTCCAATTTCATTACCCCGTTTCGATTTGATAAGACGCGACCGCGCGGATAAATGCATAGGTCGATGATAAATTGCATGCTAGATAAACGAAAATTTACAATAAATGAGAACAAATGCGCAGGATGTTTCAGAACAATTATAACACTCTGTAAAAAGCCATTTATATTTCCATTGTGCATCTATACTTTATTGCAGCTATATTTTATTATAAAATTAAACTAAATTTTGATCAATTTTTAACTATTCCTTAGAACAGAATTTTATTTGAGAACTCTTATTATTATATATGTATATGTACAGTGCAGTGTATTAATTGGCTGGGTCATAGTAGCGGTCCGACTTACCGAAAATAAGAAAATGCAGTACTAAAAAGTTGATAAAAAATTCTGAAAAAATTCTTAGAGTTCTATGAAAAGAAAATAAATGATTTTTGTCTCTTGCAGTTTTTCTGTAAAGTTGATAGTATTTGAGTAAGAAATAAATGTCGATAAGTCGGGCCGCTACTATGATCCAGCGAATTAATGCACTGCAGTGCACATCAATAGAATTAATGTATTATAACAAAGTTTAGAATAAAAAAACAGTTAAAAATTGATCAAAAGAATTTATGTATAAAATATATTAAATAGAGAAAAATTAGGAGAAAGAAAAGAAAGAATTTATTAACGTTATAATTTTGCAAATCTTTTATTTATACATACTATGATGAATCTTCGGCTTGTTTTTAAAATAAGAAATTTCTGCCAGCGGGTTTTTTTGCACAGCACATATCTTATTTCAATAATAAAATGAATTTTTCTTTTGATTTTCTTGTAAAATCAATACTCCAAACTTTTTATTTGCGCGTATTTTAATTCTGTAAAAAAATTTGCAATTCGTAAAACCGATTTGAAGATTTTGCTTGCACTGTGATTTGTAGTAATTGACATCGCTCCAATATTCTCTGTACTATAACTATCTCTCTTGTACAACAATGGATGGCACTTTCTGAAAATGCAGATAACTGGATACATATCATACTTACTACTTCTTTTTCCTTCTCTTTAAAGACAACCTACCCTACTTTTGAATAATCTTCAATGTCGCTTAATTACGCACCGTTTTTCTATAATAGTTCATGTAAGAAATTTCTATTTGGATACTCTATATCACGATAGGATTTATCAGATGTCAATGCCTATGATCGGACAACAGCGAAAGAGATTGGGATAATAGTGAGAAAATCGAACAGGAATTTAACAAAGAGAGATAACAAAAATCATCCGGATTGAAATCATGGGATGATAAAAGTTGATATTTCATGGAAGTAGTAAAAAAAACTACAATAAATTAACTGAACGAAATGAAGTCTAAAATAAATAAGGGAAGCAGATGAAACTAAAATAAACTAGGAAAAGACTGAAAGAATAGTACTGTGAGGATTAGAAAGAGAAATTATATATATATAGCAGAGTCTAGGTGAAACTGAAAGAGATCTGCAAATAACTCGAGAGAGAAATGAATTTGAAAGATCTCATGGAATAACTGTAACGAAGAGGAAGACAACGTGTCAGACTGCGGAGAGACAGATTCAAACGATCCGATAGAGACTGTTGGATGTTAGCAGAAACTATGACGCGTCTAGAAATGAGTTGGAAGAAATTACTACGAACCGAGAAGGAATCGAAAGAGAGACAGAGAGAAATTGAGCGCAAAAAGAGGACCAGGAGAGAACGGATGGAGGGAGAATGAAATAGTAGAAGTAGGGAGAAAGAGAAGAGAGGGTGGCCGCCTATGTCATCCGCGGAGAAAAGACAGAGCTTAAAGCACGCTACCACCTATCAAGCCGTAAATGGTATAGCGATGTGCCCCGGTTGTTTTTCACATGGGTGGATTTTACAACGCGAGATATTACTCTCCCCCTCCCGCCTCTCCATACCCCTTTTTCGCCACCACACCACCGCCAACGGCCGACCTTAGCAGGGTGTGGCCTCCATCCTGCAACTTTTACATCACTTTTTCCATCCACGTACGCCAACAAGATTGACATTCTTCAAACCCTCCTCTTCCTCCTGCATTCTTGTCGCCGCACGTTAAGCCGTTGCCTTTAACCTTTAACCCTTTTAATCCTAGCGCCGACTATAGTCGGCATTCATGTGAAAGTTGTGGGTTCTAGCGCCGATTATATCGGCATCCAACGTAACGAGTTAGATTAAATTTTTTTCATTAATGTAAATAAATATATCGTAAAAATAATGAAAAATATAGAGAACAATTGTTTTCATTAAAATCTAGTTTTCATTACCAGTGAGAAGCTTATTTTATAAGACTGCACATACATGCAATTGTTTAAAAAATGTACACTCACAGCAGACTCTTCCTCGTACAAGGAAAGCACACTCGAGAACATTTATACCAGAACAAGAGGGATAATTATCGTTTCTGAATCTCCTCGCTCATTACAATGACCGACAGCCCGCGACTGTGATTGCAAAACAACCGCATCGGCGATTTGTTTTATTCGCCTCACGTACATACCCTTCGCTTACCACACGTTACACTCACTGCTCATCGTACGTCCGCTAATTAATCGTGTAATGAGAGAGGTCGATTTTTTCCGCGCGACCCGCTTTAGGTACCGCCACTTTCACACGCAGCGTGTGCGTTGACGCTTGCCACACTACCCGTTTAATCCTAACCAGCCATCCGAGCTACCATTCGTTATTCGCATGAATGAGTAAAGATTTTTTTACAATTATGTGCGCGTGTGTGCGTGTATGTGTGTGTGTTCTTTTTATCTATTTATCTCCGCAATAACAGTAATTGAAGAGCTTTAGCGTAACAATATCGCGAGTGAAGGCTTATCTCGAAAAAAAATTCTATAAGCAAGGTTAATATGACTCTGCATGTTATGTTCGCACTTATCACAAAATATATTCTTTGCGTTAAAAGTGGCGTATTTTTGTTAATAAGTTTTATTTTTGTTTTTTTTTTTTATTAATGCTACTTCATAAATAAATATCGTGAAATTGTAAAATGGTAGAGGACTTTTCGATTTAGTTTAGTCCGCTCTACCAGCACACGAAGTATTTAGCGGTCATTCTGAAATATCATATAGTAGTTTTTTCGGACTTAGATTTAAAAATGATCATGCACTTTACAAATCATATATACACACACACACATATATATATGTATATACATATATATATATATATAAATTCACACAAGAAATATTTAAGCACTAAGATCCGCTTTAATCGAATCTGGGAATTCTCGTATTAATTAGATTTGTTCTCATTACTTATCAGTCTAAATTCATATTATATTCATTTTCTATTTAGTATTTTTTATTTTTATGATTCTACATCTATCGTATTAACGTTAATCAGTTAAAAAATAATTTTAAAAACATAAGATGTTCTAACGTAATTTTTTAAAAGGCAAAGCGTTACACGCAACTTTGATCGTCTCATTTATTTCCTTAACATGCTTTAGGATAATATAAGTCCCAAACAAAGTGTACTGGGGAATAAAGTTTCTATCTTCTTTTTCTCATTAACTCTTGCTTCAACGTCACTTTCTAATCGTTCTTAATCGTGATGCAGCGTGCGAATTAAAATGATATCCCGTATAGCTGCAGTAATAACCGCACTGCGTAAAACGATACTGCAATCGCATGATGCATAAGGGTAAGTACGAGTGTAAACGAATCTACCTCCGTGTAATTACGAATGCGGAATTTTTATGAACTAGATTACAATATTAATGTCTTCACGATAGTGCGATCCTGATGGTTCCTTTCATTAAGAAAGCACTTTCTCTCTTTCTTTATTTCCTTCTTTTTTTCCTCGAAAATTTTGAAATTTTAAAATTTACCTTGGTTACATTAAGACAGCTTTAAGGGATACCACATAGACGTTGCTTTACCTATATCTTAAAATCATATTAGAATATATGTATTTCCTTTATCTATAATTGAGGGGATGGGTGGAATAAAGGCCTAATTACAAAATCTTGATATTAATAAAAATTAAAATAACTTGCTACTTTTTTGTTATACACAAATGGATATCAAATGAATTTATGTGATGTCTTTAAGAAGTTACATGTTACAATACTTTTCTATTACGATCAATAATACATGAAAAAGCCAATTGCGGAAAAAAGGGCTTAGTAGAATTGTACCTTTATTCCGCCCATCCCCTCAATTGTACAGAATATTAAATATTATAATATTGTCTATATTCGTGTGTGAAACAAATCCTAAGAGTGTGTGTGTGTGTGTGTGTGTGTGTGTGTGTGTGTGTGTGTGTGTGTGTGTATGTATAAGCCAAAATATTATTACTTAAACAATTTTTCTTTCTCTCTCTCTCTCTCTCTCACTTTTATTATATTATTGTTGCTTTTTATTTTTCTTTGTATACCTATTTTTCGATGATTCGCTCTACTAGAATAATAACATTTTGTTATATGAACATTTTATCTATCTCTATCTCTTT